CACCCTGTTAACGCGAAGGCTGGACTCGAACCACTGAAGCGTCGACCATTTCTGGCCGGCAACTTTCAGCGTCATTTTTGCAGATCCAGATAAACTCTGTTTAATTTTTCAATATATTGATTTTGACAACTTTTCCACAGACACAGTATATTACCATCGGAGATAGCCACTTTACAGTTCCACCCAGAACACGTTCATGCTTGTTTGCAGAATACATGGAAAGGATGCTCAGACATTTAGCATGTAAAACGAAAACCTAATCCTCATGAAATATGCTGTTTTATCCCATTTTTAATGGCTTTGACTGAGATGGTGCAACTAGTGAATATTCCACTGTAGAATGATGACTAACATCCACTTTGACCAAAACTTCATAGTATAAAAGATAAAAAACAGGTGTTATAATGCCTACTACCACCATTATTACCACTGCTGTCCACCATCCAATTCCCCAGTCTGCACCATAATAAGGATCTTTTTGTCTGATAGATTTACCATCTGGTTCAAAGTTTAACTGCTGGGTTGATAAGGCAGAAACAACTTCATTAAGATTCTCTCTTTTGGTAGCATTACACTTCACTATTTGTTCTATATCACGGTCCACTTCTTTCAAAAAGTTACCAGCTGTTTCAGTGGAGGGGAACAACTCAGGTGCTAGTGATGCATCTGAGAATTCTGCAGAATATGAAGAAGAGGCAGATCTTGAATTCTGTCTATTTTTTGGAAAACAGTGTGTCTCCGTCAGAAGGCTGAACTTTTTTACTGGAATTTTAATAGTTCTTAATGCAAAGAAGTCCTGATCTGTGATAAGATTGTTCACCCGTTTGATATCTGCTACCTGAAATGTAAGTTACAATAAAAAGAATTAGCTTAATTTAAAAAAGTTAACTCAAAAAGTTGAAAATTAACTGTTACTTTCAACTCATTTTAAAAAACCACCTGGCTCTGTCAATATTGGCTCTGTCAATATTGATACAAAGGCCTGCTTTCAACATCAAACTAAATTATGGCTTATAAATCTTGCTTGAGTATATACAACATGCTAAATCAAAACTAAAGAAACCACACCACAGCTTAGATCAATATGCAAACCCTGCCAAATACTGTAACTGCATATTACTGCTGTTCACATGGCTAGCTTTCATTCTACAAAAGAATCTTTGGAATTCTAGAAGAATGAATTCTTCTGGAGAGACCAAAAGTGCTGGTTCACTGATTTTTGCTTAACCAGTGAGTATCCATGTGAATCACATAAATGAAGTTAGAATGACCTCTTATCTGATGAAAAGAGTTGTGTCATAGCTCTAGTGTCAGCTAGGTTATTTGCTAGTATTTATCAGAAAAAGAACAAAGATATTTCACTATCTGAAAAATAGACATTGTGCTATATGAAGAATAGGAACGCAGGTGGCAGAAAGAGTTGAGGTTACCAAGAACAACTAGTACTCCTTTTCCTTAGCTAGCAACTATTTTGAAGCTGCTACTTTTCTAAAAAAAGGCAGGGAGAACAAAAGGGATGAATCAGTAATTCAAGTCACTTCACAATTGTGGGAGATGCATCTTCTAAAACAATCAGGATGTGGCCGTTTGTGCGGGACTGATTCCTAACATGTATACTGTTGTTCATTTGATTATGGCTCAGAATGCAACATGAACCCAACTATTATCGGTTGTAAATCAAGGTTTATGACTAGGCCATAGTTTGCTTAACCATTAATGATTGTATTAAAAAAAATTGCCTAGGCATGCCTAAACAATTGTGATTTATTTAATCATTCATGATTAAACAAATTATGGCTTGGTACAATGGTAGTCCAAGTCATTGTTTTAAGGCACTAAACAGATGTAGTATTCCATATGTATCCAGTCTAAATGCATTTACTAAAGTAAACATAACAAACCTATTTGAATGTGGTCTTAAATTTTTGCACAAGTTAGCATTTATCTATAGCCTGCAGTAAAATTATTTGATCCTAGATATCTTCCACTCAATTTTTTTATAGTTTAAAATTAAAATAACACAATATTTTATGTAAAAATTCTGGTTAACTCATTTTTTGTACAATTTTATATATGTAAACTGATTACCACTCAGAAAAACATTTGAGAACTTGCAAGAACAAGGTTCCAAGAAATTATTAAGCCTGTATTTGGAATGCTTTGGAGCATGAACAGAGCTCTTCTTTGCAATTCCTTAATGCAGCCATGCTTTTTCTTGGGAATGCATGGTTGTCTTCCACAGCTATTGCATGGTTCAGGAAAAGATGCACTGGGCTTAAGAACATGAGATAGATGCTATCTCTACACCTTCATGCACTCTAAAGCACTCTTTTTCCTGTGATTCTGAAACTATGCACAGGACTAAAAATTATTCTAGCTGTATTTAACAATCTTTTAAGAGCATACAGCCCCATTCTATTACCATCTAGCCAACTGATTTAAAGTAGTTATACTGTTGTAATAATGTTTCCTACTATTTATTAAAAAAAAGAGGATGTATCCCATGTATTTTAAAAAGCTAATAAAAGAACCAACTTTATAGTTTTACTTGTATGTCAAAAAAGTGTCTTAGCAGCAATTTTCGTAGTATTTTAGGGGGAGGGCAAATTAAGTCTAACTAGGTTGTGCTAAGATTTTAAGTTTAATACAACTATTTTGAGTACACCCCCCCGCCTTTAATTCTATCTGTCACCTCAGGTGGCATCATCAGATCACTGCCACAGCCCCATTCCAGTCCAACAAATAAAATGTGACCACCAACTGGAGGAAAGTTGGCTTTGTCTGCATTAGAATAAAGAGTTATATCCTATACAATCCTCTAAATTCTGGAATTTTCTACAATACTTTCATAAAATATTATTTGTTAGAGAAGAAAAATATTCCAATTTTAACAATTACCAAAGTTAAAAATTAATTTTGAAATACCGCATGCTTCTACCTGACAAACATATACTATATATTTGTACAGTCCCAAATCTAACAAGTAACCCTTCAAATAGTTTTTATTGTACAATTCTATTTAAAAATGTTCTACATTTATATGTCCCTACCATACAATGTAATTATATGTAACTTGAAAAAGATAAACTTACTGAACAACAATACTGAAGAGCTAATGCATTTAGTGTATCTCCTTCTTGTATATCTTTAGTTATAAATACAATATCATCCATTCTTTCTCGTGAAGTACTTCTTCTGGTTTTTTCCCTTCCCCGAGGTCGCAGTTCATATACCTCGACTTCATCCTCCAGAACATCACTGTCAGAACTAATACCATTCCCAAATGGATATACGTGGCTATCCACTGTAGGCTGCACAACAGCTGGGAGTTGGAAACTTAAAGTCTGGCTTTTTCCTGTCATTCTACTAGGAGAAATCTAGTAATGAAAAGAGAATAAAAGGGGGGCATATAGTCACAAATTTTCATCCTGATTTATATACATTATTTCATTTAGCTCCTTACTGACACACTTATTCCTCTAGGTAACAATTCAGCGAACACAGATTCTCCAGGTTAATATTTTTTAAAAAGTCAATAGAAATAAATTGGTAAGAGAGACAACATTATTTCTATACAGTACAATGCTTTGGAGCTATAGCAGAAGGAAGAAAGAGGGCAGCTATTAGGACCAATATGTACAGAGTAAATTAGGACCCATCTGGCAATATGATAAAAGCAGAGTACTAGGATATTTTCTATGTTTGAGAAGTCAGACTTCAAAATAATGCAGGATTAGACAGACATCATTAACACCCTTGTTTGTAACAAGCTCTGATCAAAATAATCTCAATATATACATTCGGACCCCCCCCCCGAATTAGACATCAACAGATATCTACTATGGATAAACAATCCTCCAAAGTGCCTTAAGGTCCTGATATTAAATACAGGAAGCAGGGCATTTGTACATATCTTCTGGACCAAGGTCCACATCTGGCCTCTGAGGGCTATGCCAGGGACGGCTCTCCAAATTGAACTGCAAACACTGAAGGTGAATTTCATTTACACTTATTATTAATGTAACCTTAATTAAAATTAAATGTAGCTGATATGATGATTCTCCAGTCTCTTTTGTCACATTCAGTATTTACATCTGGCAAGTAGTTTTCGACGTCTCTAGAGCCTCCCACAGGCTTCTGAGGTCTCAAGAACGTACACGCCGGCAGGAGGGAGGGCTCGGACCAAGGAAATCTTCAGGTCCCACCACTGCCAAAGTTATTTGAGAGCCCCACTAAGTAAAAGACAAATGAAAACTCCAAGCTAATGATCTTGCAGGACTCCTCTGAGTTTAACAGAAAATTCAGTAACTGAAGCATTTCCCATCCTAGCAACAGGAGGAAAAGGTACAACGTCCAGATGCCACGCATCAAAAGCCGGGAAACTGGAACAGGAAAATATGACTCGAGAGGGAGGGAGAGAGGGAGAGAGAGAGAGAGAGAGAGAAGGGCGAGTTTGTTATGGAAAAATGCGCTGGGGTCTGTGGCAGCTCACCAAGAGCCTGTTCACTGATCCTCCGCAATATCTCTCACCCTCGGTATCTGACCCCCCCCCGCCCGACTCCAGACATTTTTTTTAAAACCAACCGCCCTCCTCTGTATTCCAGACCGGCAAGTCAGATTATTTACCAATCTACCCGGGAGCGGCCATTTGCGGACGGCGCGCTTTCCACGCCGGATCGGCGTCCTCCGCGGATGCCACTCAGCTCAGCAAAGGAGCTAAGCGAACTACAGCTGTTTCCCAGAGCGAAAGCGGCCGCGCGTCGACAAGATGGCAGCCTCTCGGCTCGTTTTCCTCGTGAGAACTCGAAATCCCGCGATGGCATTTTCCAAAATGGCGGCATGCTACTCTCGCGCGATTTTGCAGTAGCCCGTCTACTTCTTTGGCGCCATTTTCTTGGCTGGTGGTAGAGAGTTTTCTTGTTTGAAGTATGTCGCTCATCCTGGTTTCTCTCTTTTTTTTCTTCTTCATAATTCTTTGATAAATTCAGCAGAGAGGCTATTGATGCTGGCTGGGGAATTCTGGGAATTGAAGTCCACGCATCTTAAAGCTGACAAGTTTGGAAACACTGGTATATAGCAATCTGGTGTGTGTACATTTGTTACTACACAGGAAATACTGTGAGGAATTTTGGTCTTCGCATCAGAAAAATGAAACAACAAAGCTGGAGAAAATGCAGAAAAGAGTAACCAAAATGATATAGGGGCTAAAGCATCTCCCCTATCAGAAAAAAATTATGTGGTACAGTTTTTTAAACTTCGAAAAATTATAAGAGGATGTGGCGTGTATATATAATTGTGCACAGGGAGGAAAAATGAACCTTTTATCTTTCTACAAGACGGGATCATCTAGTGAATCTGAATTGTGGAAGATTAAGGACAGACAAAAAGAAGTGTATTTTGGCACAATGCAGAGTTAAACCATGCATTGTTTCTATCAGATGGAATGATAGTTACCAAGCAGTGAATTTAATAACATATTGCTTGTGCCTCAAGTTGCCTGGAAAAACAGGCAGGAGTGCTGTTCTTTGTGTACTGCTGGTGTCCTTCCCATAAAAGCCTTGTGTGTATGTGTGGTGCTGAAGGGAACTTTCAAATGTTGCTTTAAATTGAAATGCATGTAGTTTTCTTGTTGTCATTATTGTCTCATCTCTAACTGAAATAAAATATGAATGATCAGCTGTGCAGTTCTTTTGAAATATGCTGTGTTTTAAACTCTGTGGCAAATTTTGAGTTTTAGGATTGTTGGCTAATACAGTACAGTTCCATTTCACAAGGAGAAGCACATGGAGAAAAAAAGTGGCTGATTTGTATATGTGAACAACTAGCAAACCTACAAAGAAAATGAAACTATTCCAGTGGAATGGATAGTTTTCCTGGTGGTTTCTTCAAGATTTAGCAAGATGCACAAACCCAGCAGCATCTGTGCTACTGAGCATTTGATAAGACAGATCTGAAGCAGTTTTCATGGAGGAAGCTTTCAGACATAGTACTGTAGTGAATGAATAGATGATGGTACAAGGAATTGTATGACTTAGCCATGTTCATTATTGCAGAAAGGTAGTTAAACTGTGGTCAAAAAGGCTGATAGAAATTAGTACAGCAGCAAATCAATTTCAGGAAAGTGAATGTATATAATGCCCTGGCACATATTGTTGTAAATGTATTTAAAGCATTGCTTTAAAATTTTGGGTGATAATGCAAAAGGCCAGAGCAAGTTAATTTCAACTTTTATTTTCTTTATAATTAGTGTTTGCAAACTTTGAATTGAAAACCCACCACGCTTGGATAGGCAAAATGGGACCACTGTCAAAACTCACTTTAGGCATTCTTGCCAACTGTGCCTATGCAAGCTCCAGCGAGTGGTTGCGGTGCCACAGAAAGTAATATAGTTATTTCTTGCCTAATGTCAGTTCTAGCATAGTAATTACTTTTGTATGTATATATTGATTTTAGAGGATTGTGGTCCCACAACATTTGAAAACCTCTGCTTTAGAGAGATGCTACTGAGTCAAATATTGCTAGAGCTACACACTTCCATACTAAAAACAAAGTGAGAAAGGATTTGCTGTGACCTACCTCACTCCTTTCTGTAACCATTTGTACCTAGTGACATTTTCCCATCAATGTACAAAAGAGTATATTTCCAACTTGATGAACAGGACAGTAGCTACACAACCTGTGAATACTAATGTGGGTGCAGTCTTTCTCATTCCTGATGTAAATTACTTCATTTATCCAAATGCATATTAAGTGAGTTAGCAAGGGCCCGTATTAATCACAGCATGACACCTGTGTGTGCAAGTACTACATAGGAATTTACTCAGCTCATTTGCTTTTCATCATTGTTTGCTTGGGATTGAAAACAGAATTTAGAAAGAGAAGCATGCTT